GCAAAATCCCGCAGTACATTCTCCATGAAGGGAACATACCACAACCCTCAACCTTAAACCGAGTCTTCGTGGCTTAGCGCGTGCTAGTTCCAGGTAGGTCCGCAGGGTTTAGGGTCCAGGGCTCAGGCCTAGAAGCCGCCGTTCCAACTTGAATGCGACCCTAAACCCCAAAACCCTAAACCCTAAACCCTAAACCCCAAACCCTAAACCCCTAAACCCCTAAACCTTAACCGATCGTGTCTCTTGAAAAAAGTTCAAGTTTGTTAGGACAGATTCCGGGTTGCATTTCGGGGTCTGCAAGTGGAAAATGAACTTTTCAGATCAAGGAAGACATTGCTCTATGTATGTCCGCAGAATATGCAAACACACATACATGCACAAATACGTACATGCATACTTACTTACTGACATGCATACATACATGCACACTGTGCAAATACGCATCTGTGTATGTATACATATACATATATATATATATATATATATATATATGTATCTTTACGTATGCAAAAACACTTACGTATACATACCAGGTACATAAACATACACATACAAAATTACATACATACATACATACATACATACATACATACATACACGTACACAGATATAACACACATGCATATATACACACCTAGTAGCAAGCCCCAAGTGTAGCACTCCTGAAAATGTCATTGTATAAGTACAACATAAATATTGAAAACAACACCCCCTTAACCCTTGGCCACTTGCAGGCAGAACTATAGTCTCCTTAGGAATTCTGTGCATTTTTGTATAAAACTCCAGAGAAAATGAAAAACTGTAATGTTTATTATGGTTCTAAGGGGGATATAGAGAAGCTTTCAGACCGAATCTCTCAGGTTCGCTGTGGGCTTTACATCGATCGTTCAGGTGTCAGCGCCGATGGCGACGAGGTCGGGAGAGAAGAACTTCGGGAGACTGACTCTCCTTGGGTTCAGGGCTCGGCTGAGGTTGTGGGGTTTAGGGTTTTGGGTTTAGGGTTTGGTTTAGGGCTTTAGGGTTTAGGGTTTAGTGTTTAGAATTTAGGGTTTAGGGTTTAGGGTTTAGGGTTTAGGGTTTAGGGCTTTTGGCATCTTATGTGGATTTCTATTAGCTTGCTGCTATCGGGGCCGGGATCTTACGGCCCTCTCTTGTGCCTTTTTTTGTTGTTTTGGTTCGGACTGAAAGGCTCTCGGGACCTCTAGACTCCAGACCCTCGAGCCTGATTCAGCCCTAAATGACCCACCTTGCCTTGGGGTTCCATAATGTACCGATGTAAGGTCTCAAAAACGGCAGGCTCGTTAGGGTCCAGGTAATCCCTAAACCCTCCTAAACCGAAAAAGCCTCCGACTCTGTTTTTCTTGGGGTGATCCTGCAGCATCTCGCCTACTTGGAGGTTCATGGGTAGTTATAAGTGGAGTTTCAATCAGGGAAACCATAACTATAACCCATATTAGGGGACTTATAACCCTACTTATAACTACCCATGAACCTCCAACTACAGTTCCTTTGGACTCTCTTCGGGCTCGCGGGGTCTGGAGCCTCTCCTATATGCTGTTCAGTGCTTGGAGCCTGGGGGCTTGGGTTTAGGGTTTAGGGTAGTGCATCCTTTTATTCTGGAACGGTCCTAGAAATTCTGAACTGCAAGCAAGGATTTCCAGCAATACCCAGAGATTCGGGTGGTCGTAAGCTTCAATCGGATCATCAAGGGTCAAGGACATAAAACAGATGCCATACGCTGACATAGAGTCACTAGTATTATTCCACTAGTTTTTGAACTAAGGGAACTTGTCATTGTGCCTAAAGCCTACTTTCAAAATGTCCTGATGTTAAAGTCGTTGTATAAATCCGTATGCAGCCTGTATACACAGAACAGGTACTGCAATTCGGGCTCTGCGTCAGTGCCACAACTGAACTCGAACTAACAGTGCTGACAAGAACTAGTCAACCCTAAACCCTAAACCCTAAACCCCTAAACCCTAAACCCTCTGCACTCAAAGTGATGCCAGTTCGAGGACCCCGTGGCGCCACACGAGCCTGAAGAAGGGAGCAGCTACCGATCTCCGTCTGAAACCTGGGATTCGGCATTTGCTTAATACAGCTTCGGTAAAAAAGTATGTATATATATATATATTTTTTTTATTTATACTGATAATAGAAAAATGAAGATATGATGTGAGTGACAAGGAAACCATACCAGAGACCTTCACTAGGGATCGGACGAACACTCGCGATGTCCCCTTGTAGTCCCTGTGTGGTCGTCTTCTCATGCACTCCACCCTAAACCCTAAACCGTGGCTCCAAACCCTATTCTTCTTCTTTCAGTTTCGTTGCCGGAAGGTCTCTAAACCAGCAAGCGATTCAGTAGCCGCCTGCTTGATTTCGGGAAGCGGCTCCATACTGTTTGATGTCATCTCTATTTCTGTACAGTCATTGCTGCAAGGGTTGCTGTCAGTCTCCAGACCACGCTTGTGCGCATTCCGTGCGACTTCCCCCTCACCTGCCCTGCCGTCAAACCGCACATCCACATGCCCCCACCTGTGCACGTGTGCTTTGTTTGCGTTCTCTAAAAGTCACAACCGCCCTGTACCCCAGAACACTGAACCCTAAATTCCCAGACCTAAACCCCTAAACCCTAAACCCTCAAACCCTCCGTAAACCCTAAACTCTCAAACCCAAAATCCAAACCTACAACGCAATATAGAACCTGTTAAAGTACCCAGCATGGCTCCTGCAATCCGAGGATCCTTGTTGGAGCAGTCACTGGAGGTTTCGTGCTCGGCTGCTGTAGATTAGGTAGTGAATAGTGTAGGGTCTTCAGGGCTCAGAGTTTTGAGCTTGTTGTTGTGTTAGGGTTTAGGGTTTAGGGTTTTTTACGGTTTAGGGTTTCGGTTTCTCTGTATTTGGTTTAGATTATTGCAGCTTATAGGTCTTATTCTTCCTGTCGGTCAAGGTTCGGCTTTTGTCAGATTGTGGTGTTGGCATCGGCAGCCGTGGTTTGCACATCCTGTTATGAGATATACAAGTTTCAACGGAAGATAAGGAAAGCTGCTCTCTCTCTCTCTCTCCCTCTCTCCCTCTCTCTCTCTCTCTCTCTCTTTCTATTTCTCTCTTTTGGGCTCTCTCTCTCTCTCTCTATATATATATATATATATACATTCATCCATGTGTTTGTTTGCTTATTCATCGATTTGTCGATTACTGCGCAGCTGCATTACATCCCCGAAGGTTGCCAGAACCTCTGGACCTAGCTTTGCACAGTCGCCACGATTCTGGCTCTTTGGTTTTGGATTTGCTGCAGATTGCCGCGTTTATACCAGCAGTGAGAGAATCTACAGCCACTTAAGCCTTTGGCAAGCGCTACAGTAGCCTAAAAGTATCGCTCTACTACGTAACCCTTTTAGCCTTGTATAGATCCCTTTATCTCCCTTACCCAAGCGCATAGCAGGCTCGCAATCAAAGCAACTGAGCGCTGTGGGCCGGCCCAGATCTGTACAAAGCCCGTTCAGTGAAGGCCTAAACTACCCACCAAGACAGTCGGACTCCTCAACCCTAAGCCCGTAAGCCTCCAAACAGGTTCATTTAATGGCACTGGTGTGTTTAGTTAGAGTACACCCATAGGCCCCATAGTAGTTCCTTTTTGGGATGACCTTACAGGATTCTAAATATGAGCCCGAAAAAGGAACTACTATGGGGCAAGCACAATGAGGAGCCCTAAGGCACAGTATTCGTGAGTATCAGTAAAAAGTTCTCTGGTCATAACGAAGGTAGGGTTCTACGCAGGATCAGAGAAGAGGAGGTGTACTGTGCTAGGTTTAGGGCTTAAGGTCATGGAGGCATGATCGCCAGCATGCTATTCCAGCACGACAATTGAAAAGCCTACAGATCGAATGGTTTAGGCCTTCTGCTTAGAAGGAGCAACTTGCTCACTTTCGACCCTGCCCTTCAAAAACCAAGCCACGCGGGAGTCGAAAAAGGCGTCGCTGACATTACGGACTTCTCGTAGTCTTGTCGTCTTGACACAGGGTATATACGCATGTCCAGATTATCATTGCGCTTAGATGAGAAACTCGGAAACCCTGAGCCCTGAACCCTTTGGTGTCTAAAGCAGTCTGGGTCCTGTTGCGAACAGCTTTGCAGTGCCCTGAACCTCCAAGTGGGTGTCAAGAAACTTTCGAACCATGTTCGGGAGTTCCGGAACCAATTAATTTCGGTGCTTGAATATTTGATTAGTGTATGTTATCTGAGGCTTTCGTGCCGCTGTGATTTAATTATACCAATCCTGTAGAAATCAGTATGTTATCTTGAATACCCTCTCGAGTTTCTGATTTCTGTCGCCTTCGCAGCAAACCGTCAACCCATGTCAACCCCACATTTACTACACTAGACCCAAGACGCCCTAAACCCTAAACCCCAAATCCTGTAGGTGTTATGGGTCGCCAGCAGGCCCAGATGCACGACTCCATCATAAAATTGGGCAGGTTAGCCGTGCAAGCTTTACTGTATACAAAGAGCGCCAAGACCTTGTTCTAAGTTGGTTGTAAGTATATACCCAGAGGGTCCATATATACTACTATCATGGAATTAGGCCCTAAAAGACCATCAAAACCACGGTTTTGGGGACCTAATTCCATAATATTAGTGTATATGGACCCTCTGGGTTATAAGAGATCTTTAGACCCGTTAGTGGACACGAGGCTCGCAACTTGGAGACATTCTCAACACTCCAGGACGCTCCAAGCAGTTCAGGCACCGAGCCTGACCACGGTTTAGGGTTTAGGGTTTAGGGTTTAGGGTTTAGGGTTTAGGGTTACCTACATCTACATCTAGGTCACCGAATGCAAGCCTCCTAAACTTAACCCATCTTAACCCCGAAGGCCACAATCCCGAAACGCGAACCCAATCGCTCAAAGAGGCAGTCTTATTAGTCTTATACGGCTTGGGGGTTTGAAGTTGCGGTTCCGAGCCCTGTTCCCTAGAACTCCGACAGCTTAGGCCGCATGGGCAAGAAAGCTCCTCCCGGCCACGGGCTTGGCTCCAATGATCCCAACCTACAAAATAATGCCCTCATCCTCCACGGTTTCCTCAACTCCATAGTTTCAACCGTCAAATTTCGCGTTCGAGAGACGAGACGATGTCACGGGCAGGGCTGAGGAATTAAGTCTCAGGATTTGGGGTCTCGGGCTGCTTAGATCTTGATTCCTTTCCGTCGCTTTTGCACCTGTGCAGATCCATTCTCAGAATTTGAGGCTTCCGGTACATCTGGAGTTTGCAGTTGGACGCTCGAGACTTGAGTAATGCCCACTTATGCTTCATACTACTTGATGCCGCAATCTATACTGAAATTGTTATGTACGATGGAGGCACCTTCGAGGGGTATTAGGTATACAGTTTTTTAAAGAAATTACGAGTAGGCAAGCGGCAAGCGAGCCTCGTTTGAAAAATGGGGTGCCTGGCTCGCTCTCTCTCGCTGTCTCTCTCTCTCTCTCTCTCTCTCTCTGTCGCTCTCTCTCTGTCGCTCTCTCTCTCGCTCTCTCTCTCACTCTCTCTCTCTCTCTCTCTCTCTCTCTCTCTCTCTCTTTGTCTCTCTCTTTGTCTCTCTCTTTGTCTCTCGCTCTCTCTCTCTCTCTCTCTCTCATCTCTCTCTCTCTCTCTCTCTCTCTCTCTCTTTGTCTCTCTCTCTCTCTCTCTCTCTCTTTCTCTCCTCTCTTCTCTCTCTCTCTTTGTCTCTCTCTCTCCCTCTCTCTCTCTCTCTCTCTCTCTCTCTCTCTCTCTCTCTCTCTCTCTCTCTCTCTCTCTCTCTCTCTCTCTCTCTCTCTCTCTCTCTTCCTCTCTCTGTATGTACGTAAGTACGTACGTATGTATATATGTATGTGTACCTATACATACATACATACATACATATATATATATATATATATATAGGTGTGTGTATATTATAATATATATATATATATATATATATATATATATATCTACATGTATATGTATGTGCATTGTTTATGTATTGTACTACATACACACGTACATACACACATACACAGCTGCACACACCTTCATTCACATACATACATACATACATACATACACGCATAGACACATACATTCATACATGCATACATATGTGCATATACATACGCATATACATAGACGTAGACCTACACATATACCTAGACCTGTACCTATGTTTATACATAAACATAAAAATATTCTTACACATATACACTTACATATACATACACCTATATTCATTCATAGATGCATAAATGCATACGTACATGCATGCATGCATGCATGCATGCATGCATGCATGCATGCATGAATGAATGAATGAAATGAAATGAATGAATGAATGAATGAAATGAATGAAGTGAATGAATGAATGAATGAATGAAATGAATGAATGAATGAATGGATGCACACAGACATAGACACATACTTACATACGGCCTGCTTCTATAACGATGTATGTTTATGTGTTTGTTAATTTATTTTTGCGGGTCCCTGTTGATCGGAAGGCCGTATATTGCCCGGGTACGGTGGTTCTTTCTATGTGGATCGCAAAACTCCCTTGCCGACTGAGGTGCTAAACGCCGGGGGGCTCATCATGAGCCTGGTGTGGTGTATGCTTCTAGTTTGGAGCCTTGTTGTTTCGTTTTACGTTTTGTTTGTACCAAAGGATTTGCTACTATGGTTTGCCCAAGCAGTTCGCATAACGGTACTTGGAACTGAAGATCCTTGCGCCAAGGTTTTGGGGTCTAGGTATTCGTCGGACCGGGCAGGGCACAGATAAATCGAAGGTTCCTTCGAACATGCCTTGCTGCATGGTGAATTCCTGTATCGGCCTAAGCCATAAACTCCAGCGACACTCTGCGCATGCGATGTCCAGATTCAAGCTTGCTTCTTGACTTGATGTGCAACACCCTAAAACCATGCACAAACCAAGTCCCAGACCCTGATTGGGATGTCCTATGTCACAACCGTCCGTCCCGAAGCTATCAGCCCTTGAACTCTGCACGTTTCGACCCTGAAATGTCGGGGCCGCAGTCCTTCCGTGCTTTTATGTCGAACCTACCCATAGGCCCCATAGTGGCTCCTTTTGGGAATCATATAAGGTAATCCCAAAAGGAACTGCTATGGGGCGTATGGGTATAGTCTCCATTATAGTTCTTTGTCTGGTTGAGCCCATTCTATTGTCAGGGTCCCAAAAGGTAACCCAAAACAGGAACTACAAGGGAGACTATACGCTAGCCCGTAAATGCTTAAACCCCGTCCCCATCTCATAGGAATCGTAAAACCCAGCTATCAATGACTCAACCGACGTGCCAGCTCAAAATAGAGCCCTGACTTTGCTTCTATGCATATCCCTTACTTAACAACTACAGAGTATATGCATGTCAAGCAATACCTAAGCCCTATAGACCCTGAGCTCTACCCGCTGGATCGGCTCTGAACTCAGGGGGCATGAAGAAGCCGAAGAAGAAACGGCGTGGGAGCAAAAACTCCAGCTCCGTCGCCTCGCGCCGGGGAGCTTAGTGGAAGAGTTGTAAACTTAGAGGGGTTGGGGTAGGGTAGGGGGGCGTAATGACCCAATAAGGCCTATCTAAGGAAGTATAGGCCCCTACCCCCCTCCCCCCTACCCCTCTAAGGGTCCCTATGATAGATCCTCTTGGAAGATAAGTTGGTGAAGTTGTAAGGCCCCTGCATTCGGGGCTGGGATTTGGGAGTCTGCCCGGCGAGGGTTCAGGGCCCGGGGATACGGGATTCATAAATGGGAGTTTCCGAAAATTAGGGGACCCAAATATAGCACCCTAAATAGTAGGACCCTTATCATAAGGGCCCCCAAATAAGGCTAAATAGTAGGACCCTTATCATAAGGACCCCCAAAGTAAGGTACCCCCCTATTTTCGGAAACTCCCAAATGCCCTAAGCCCTAAACCCTAAACCCTAAACCCTAAACCCTAAAGCCCTAAACCCTAAACCCCAAAGCCCTAAGCCCTAAACCCTAAACCCTAAACCCTAAACCCTAAAGCCCTAAACCCTAAACCCCAAAGCCCTAAAGCCCTAAAGCCCTAAGCCCTAGATCCGAAGCCCTCTAGTCTAAGCCCTGAACTCTCAAGGCCCTACGCACCGAAGATCATAGGGATCCTTAGGGGTGTAGGGGGAGGGGGGGTAGGGGGCCTTAAGGCCCATAATAATAAGGACTTATAAGGCCTATTTAAGGAAATGTAGTCCCCTACACCCCTCCCCCCTACACCCCTAAGGATCCTTATGAAAAGAGAAGCGTAATCCCCTTTTATGTTAGGGTACTTCACAAGCCCGAAGCCCCAATCTCAGCCCTGAAGACCAGGGCCCGAACTCCCCCAATACAGTCTGGTTCTTAGTAGGGGTGTCCATACCCAAAGGGTCCTATGTACTGTTATGGGGAATACTTCCCCAAATCATAATAGTAATTCCTAATATAGAAACCCTACATTCTACTATATCGGTACTTTGGACCCTTTGGGATAAGCCATTCCCCCATTCCCTACCAAGACAGAATATCCTGAAGCCGTGTGCCGCCCATAGTGTTTTGTTCCGCAGGCGCCGGAGAAGAGTCTTCACAAGCCAGCCGACGACTCGGGATCAGTTCCGGTTGGGAAGGGGTCGGGGTTTAGGGTATTGAGGCTTAGGGCTTAAGGCATAAGGTGTATGAGTTTAGGCTATACAATTTTCAGGTTTCGGGTTGGGGGCTTGCGAACTTCATGCCGTTATGTCTCCAGGCTTCAATGCTTTTGGGCTAAGTTCTGTGGAGTTTAAAATAGATCAGTCGGGGATGTACATTGTTTCGCGACCTCCGTTCATCCAAATGGAAGGCTTAGGCTCGGGCTGTCTGGGGCCGGAAAGTCTTTAGGACTTAGGCTTTAGGGTTTAGGGTTTAGTCCACGCAATTTTCTGGTGTCTACAAAGTAGGTGTTCTCACTATATAAGAAAGGGTGTTGGGGTATGCATGTTTGCTTGGTCGTCTTCGTAAGTGTGTTGTTCGGTCACAGCTTTCTCTGGGTCGTCTTCGTAAGCATGGTGTTGGGTGCCAACCCTCTCCCAACACTCTCCCAACCCACCCAACCCACTCCAACCTCGCAACCTCCTCCCAACCCTCTCCCAACCCCACTCCCAACCTCCTCCCAGCCCACTCCCAAACCTCCTCCCAACCCACTCCCAACCCACTCCCAACCTCCTCCCAACCCACTCCCAACCTCCTCCCAACCCACTCCCAACCTCCTACCAACCCACTCCCAACCTCCTCCCAACCCACTCCCGACCCTCCCACCCTCTCCCAGCCCTCTACCCAACCCTTTACCCAACCCACCACTCCCAACCTACTCACTCTCCAGTCTAAGCCAAACGCCCTCCAAGACACACCTCAAGCCAAATTCGCTCTGCAAACTGGGCCTTCTTCTTTTTGGGCAAGTAGCGGGGTCGTCTTCGGGAGGGTGGTTCGGGCTTCCTTAAGAATCCGGGTCGGCTTGGGGAGGGGCCCAAGTGCCGGCTTCAGCAGTTATCTTCTTTAGTGCGCCCAACCCACTCCCCAGCTGCTCCCAACTACATAACTCCCAACCCACTCCCCAAGCTCTCCCCAGCTGCTCCCGAAGCAATCACATCGCGGACGCATCCTCTTATTTACTGAGAACACCTCCGCCGTAAACACCAGAAGTATCCCCTGATTTAGGGGTTTAGGGTTTAGGGCTCGGCCTCATGCCTACTTATGTCAGCTTGCTTCTTCACTGTGTCAGAATTCACCAACGAACCGTCACGAGAGGTTACCGAGCATTTGCGAGAGGCTCCCACAGCAGGCGAGTTTCACGGCCCCCTGAGCGAGGAATCCTTGCAAAAGCCTCCTATAGACATGAATCTGCATGAGAAGTGCTTACCAAGAGGCCTCGTAGCAGTTCCTTTTTGGGGGCTCATATAAAGAATTCTATAAGGTAGTCCCCAAAAAGAACTACTATGGGGCCTCTGGGTAAGCATATATTCCTATAGATGGTAACCTATCGCAACTACTATCTGAAAACAACTAGCTATATTGGGTCCTTGGGGCCCTTACACCTTTAGAATACCCGATGAAGCCTCTTTTCGACCCCTTCATGGAACTCTTATGGGACCTCTAATTGCCTTAATTATTGGGTAATTATTGGGTCCTTCAGACGCTTAGGGCAAGATCCAAGTGCCAGTGAGGTCCTAAACCCTAAGCCCCAAACACTCTTAGGGCAAGATTCAAGTGCCAATGACCCAGAGAGCCCAATACCCCTTAATTAAGGAATATACCTTAAATTAAAGGGGACTTTACATTATGGTTTAAGGTATAGTCCTCAATGACGGAATATACCTTAAATTACCGGGGACTTAAAATTATGATTTAAGGTGTATTCCTTAATTAAGGGGTATTGGGCTCTCTGGGGAGGTGTCACCTCCGGGTCCGGAGGCCAGGGGTTCAGTGCCCGGTCCCACTTCAAGGCTCTGGTTCGTAGTAGGGGAATTCTAAAGGGGAAATGTTCCTTTAAAAGGCTCTATATAAGGGCTACCATAAGGGCTACCGTGAGGGCGGTACTATGGGAGTTTTGTATAGGGGCCTTAACATAGGGTGCGAGTTTAGGGCGCAGGGTTTCGGGGTTGGCCCGGGTGGGGGGGATGCCATGGGTTCAAACTTTAGGTTTTTGGGGATTTGGTTGCTTTGGTATTCAAAAGTAGGATTTCGCCAGATGCACACTCCGCAGACCATTCAATCCCGAGATATCATCCTTGCTACGGGAGCAATGTAGGGGGCTCCTTATGCCCACAGTCCTAATCTAATCGTTAAGGCCCCTATACTGGTTCCTTATTCTAGTGATAGTATGGTATAGCCCGCAACCCAAATCTAACTATTAAGGCCCCTACATGATACGACCGATACTACCGTTAAAGATCCCTTATGGTCCCATTTAAAGGAACTCCATACTGTTTCTGTCGATTGGATCAAGAAATCGAGGCATCCTCCTAGGACGATGCCCCCTGCAACGACTCCGGGGGGCACTCAAAGGATCCTGCTAATTTCTAGGGTTTCCTCCACAAAAGCTCGACCCCAAACCCCGAAACCATATCACTCATAGGATCCTGCATATAATAGGGATTTACCCACAAAAGCTTGACGCCAAACCCTGAAAACCATATCGTCCTGAAGCCTAACCTTAAGGAACGCATCGGGATTTGCCCACAAAAGCCTGACGGCAACCCCGAAGTTACCTATAGTCTCCATTGTAGTTCCTTTGTTTGGTTAACCAAAATCTCTATTATAGGGTCCTAACCATAAAATTGGATTACCAAAAAAAGGAACTACAATGGAGACTATAGGTACATCATACTAAAACCTTGAGGAACGTCTACGTGCACGAAACTCCGTAGAACACCCGCAGTGTGGGACGTTTCATGATATAAATCCTGCATTACCCATAATAAGGAATGTACTATAATTCTCATAGTTTCGGGCCCTTAAGGTAATGCAGGATTTATATCATCAACCGGAGGAGAGGAGTCGGATGATGGCGCCAGCGTGACGAGCAAGCAGAGCGATGCAAGCCGGAGCAGCAGGCAGAAACCCGGAACTGTAAGCACTAAGTAAGTTTACTATAGGGGCCTAAAGCATACCGATACTATTGAGGGAGGTTCCTTATTATAGTTATAGTATAAATGTCCCCCAAACCCTATTCTAATTATTAAGGCCCCTATATCATACTACCCTTTTAGCTCCCTTATAGTAGCGCTTATAGTCCCCTTTAAAGGAACTCTATTCTCATTATGAAGGCCCCGAATAGTTAGTAAGTAAGTTTATGCTTTCAGAGTTGCAAGGCCTTCCATTGAAATCCCCTAAGGCTCCTCTGGGCCCCAACGGACTTCGAGGGTGCAAGGTTTCGAGCAGGTACCCTTTACCTTAAACTACCTTATCCTACTCTATTGTAGGTTCTTATCGTAAGCCCTAATCTGGAAATTATAGGGACCCTAGAATATAGTAGGTTTTGGTAGTTCAAGGTAGGGCATACAGCAGAAGCCAACCAGTTGGAACTCCAATAGCCTCAGTCTTTAAGAGTAATGTATAGGCAACCCCAGAACTAATTGTCCTAAATCCGGTTTCCAACTTTCTGGGGATTACTATAAACCATAAACCCCAAAAACCCCAACCCCAAAACCCTTAACCCTAAACCCCGAAGCCCCAGTTCTAAGTTCCTTTGTCCTGGGGTCTCAACCATGCGCACTGTAGTCCTGCGCCCATCCAGTCCAGAAACGACACGGTAGCACACAAGTCAACATAAGCCAGAGAGCCGTAGAGGGTAGTAACCTCACAGCACTGTAGAAACCCTGATAATACCCATCATAGATGATCATCTTTATGATCGCAACAGTACCTTGCCCCAAGGGTCCATGTACCAAAAATAGCATATACTATATACTTTGGCCTTAAAGTAGTCCCTATGTAGTTGCTTTGGGGCCAAAGTATGTACTGTTTGAGGTACATGGACTCTCTGGCCATGTCCCTGACTCTAAACCCTAAACCCCGAGCTACCATAACCCCGACTCAGGATGAGCATCTCGCTTGCATTCCTAGAACCGGGCAGGCACTGGTTCGGCATTTTTGGGATTTAGGGAGTTGGGGTTCCAGGGTTTTGGGTTTTTGAGATTTGGGATTTTTGGGGTTCTAGAGTTTGGGGTCTGGGGTTGTTGAGAATCAAGATTTTTGAGGCTCTTAGGGTTTAGGGTTTAGTGTTCTTTGAGACTTTGGGGTCTTAGGGAGTTAGTGCTTAAATACTTTGGTGGTTTTAGGGCTTTACGGCTTTGCGGTTCAGGAATTAGAGGTTAAGGATATTGCTTTATAGGAGTTACATCTATATATATACATATATATATATATGTGTGTGTGTGTGTGTACGATTTCCTTCTTGTCGTGGGGAGCACATTGTCTGTATTAGTGGCTGTGTCCCTTATGATTCTGACACTCCAAAATTATGTTCGCTCCTTCGAAACCGCTGCTACATGAAACTGGTTTACGGAGCGGCGACAGATTGCATTGGCAAGTTCGTAGCCGCAAGCCGCAAGCCCACCCCTAAACCTCCATGCGGCAACCCTGTGAATAAACCAACAACCCTGAAAAACCAATAGTTCTCATGCCCTATAAGCCTAAAACCCATAACCCATACTCCGAAAGCTTGAACCATCAATCCCATTCTTAAACCTGAATATGTAAGCCGAGATGCTTATCAAACCAACGAAGTGACGCTCACCACCTTAACTCCGTTAGCCTCCGCAAAGTTAGGAGAACCCTATGACCCAAACCGGCCCAAGCCGGATAATCCTTGTAGACATAGAGTCTCGTGTGTAAGAATTTGAAGTTTAAGGTTTGGCCTACAAGCAAGCAAGGGGCTGACACGTTCCATTATTAGCAATGCATGTCACGAGAAGTCTTTGGACAGACACATTTTGTATACAGGCGCTGGTACACCAGGTTTGGAGCCTCCTGTACCTGAGCCTACCAAAACCTGTGTTTTTGTCGGGCTAAAACATTCTGCATAGTCAGGTTTACAAGAAGAGCCTACAACAAATCCAGGTTGCGCTAGTTTAAGCCTAGTTTAAGCCTGATGCATCTGAGGCAAAAGCAGCAAAAGCACAAACCAGTGCCAGTCTCAGCACAGGCTAAGTGCGTCACCCACCCCTGGACTGCAGAAAGATTATCCAAACGAGAAGTGCTTCAACTCAGGTTTTAGGGGTAGGGGGTCTAGGGGTTCAGAGGCTTAGAGTGTGGGACTTTGTGTGGTTCAGGCCTGATTGGGGGTTCCTGCTGTCAGTTTCTTCCTTGCACCGAAAGGTGAGCCCTTCGAGCCCTAAGCACAGCTTCCTGAGAAACCACCTTACAACGTTGGCGGAATCCAAGCCTTTGGCCCGAGGGCTCTTTGAATTAGGGGGGCCGCTTCTTGAAGTCTGTTGTTTTGCGTGCACATGAGTTCGATCACATATTTGCTCAGGGACTACAAGACTCTAGCTTAAGGGCATGTGCGCACAGTCTGACTTCATGTTGCAGGCGTTTGTCCCGCATTTAGTAGTGAGGCCTACTTACCAAGATTAAGGCTCATTGCAACTCATCCTTCCGGAATAGCTTTACGGTATGGGGGTTTCAGAATTTAAACCCCAGCCCACAAGCTTCGCGAGGTCCAGTACCTACGGCCCAACATACGGCTCCCCAAGTCCGGAAGACCCCAACTCAAGCAAGGTCGAGTGTGGTGAGCTCCAAGTACAAGGCCCGCGAATGGCTTGAAGAGTTCGGGTCTAGGGTCTATAGGGGTAGGGTTTAGCAATGTTCAATGGCTTAGGTAGGAAGTAAGGTTCAAGTTGTTGAATTTCGGGTTGAAGGAACCCTTTTACAATGCTACACCAAACCCTGGCAAAGAAACCTCGGTAAAGCCTTATCAACTCGATGTATGTTCAGATGGTGCCGGACTCACCTTTCTTGGTGCGGGCTGAACGCTGAGGGTTTTCCTGGTTTACGGTTCAGCTTTGTGGCTTCCATGCGAAGACTGAAAGGGTACCCAGAGAGCCCAATAATTGCCCCGTAATTGAGGAATGTACTCTAAATTATACAGGACTTCATATTAGGCAATTATTGGGCTCTCTGGGTAGTGGGTACCTTCATCAGGTTTCGGGTTTAGGTATTCGTTGGTGCGCACTTTGCAATTCCGGTCAATCTCTGTGCTGTCGCAGGGCAAGAGCAATGCGCAAATCCGGCGTATGCAGGACAGAGCTTCTTACCTCTGGGATTCCGGGTTCATGGTTTGGGTCCCGTTTTAGGGTTCATGGTTTCGGGTTCAGGGTATGTGTCGCCGTTGCAGATATGGGAATGCCCTTCTGGATGTGCATGAGCGTGCAGAACGGAGCACGGGGTCTGGCGTCCGGATTTCGATTTCGGGATGTCTTATAAGCCTGCACCTTGAGCCCGCACAGGAGGAGGAAGAGAAGGAGCGGAGGGAGCAGAACAAGGAAAAGTACCAGAGGCCGCAGGGACCAGAGCCATCCGGGATTGCGCACAAGGGACGAAACAAGCGCTTTAGTACCGGAGCTAACGATACCTTAACCTGCGGGGTTCATGATGCTTCATGTGGATCTCCAAAAGGCTGAACATAAGTTCAGGGATTAGGGTTTATAGTGCTTTTGGCTGTGATGCAATCACGAGTTTCCCCTGCATGCGGACCAACGGAAGCCTCGTGTGTTTCAGCGTCCCATGGGCATTCCCCAGAGAGCCCAATACCCCTTAATTAAGGAATATACTTCAAATCATAATATTAAGTCACCCTATAATTGAAGGTATATTCCTGAATTTAGGAATATACCTGAAATCATGCTGTTAAGTCTCCTGTAATTTTCATGTATATTCCTTAATTCAGGAATATACCTTAAATCATAATATTAAGCCCTCTATAATTTAACGTATATTCCTTAATTAAGGGGTATTTGGGCTCTCTGGGTCTTCGCAAAGCCTAAACCCTCTCTGGGTCTTCGCAAACCCTAAACCCAAAGCCCTGAACCCTCAACCCCTAAAGCCCTAAACCAAAACCCTACGCCCTAAGTCCCCTAAACCCTCTTCGCAGGTACAAAGAGCTCGCAGCGATCATGGAGTCCTCCGATGAGGAAGAGCTCAGCGAGAGCGGTACCGAGGAGGCCAGGAAGCCTCTGGGTTCCCTTTGAATTGGGGTTTAGGGTTTAGGGTTTAGGGGATTGAGGGTTTAGGGTAAAGGGGATCTATAAGGGTACGTAGTATTGGTAGTATCGGCCTTATAATAATTAGAATAGGATTTTGGGGCCCAATTATACTATAAGGAACCTCCAAAATAGTATAGGTTCCGAGGAGGACAGGAAGCCTAAACTCTGCCTTAAACCTGTCATAATCTACTTTTCGTAGGGTCCTAGTCCTACTATAAGCCATAACATGGAGTTCATAAGGGAACCGAATGAGTTACCTTCAGGCAAAGGCACCTGAACCCTCCAAAAGATGCGATTTGCAGGCATGAACCTCGCAGTTCCGGGGGGGGGGGGATTCCGATACTGTAGCTGTAGGGTGTGCGTATGGGTGTGAATGCTGAAGGGTCTTCAGCATGTGGGAGTTTCCGAAAATAGGGGACCCTAATATGGTACCCTAAATAGTAGGATCCTTATTATAAGGACCCCAAAATAAGGTACCCCCAATTTTCGGAAACTCCCATGTGAGGCGGGGGATTACAGTGTGTCTCCTTCGGATTCGGCGCTTTCTGCTTAAAGGATCATGGGACTTAGTAACTTGGGTTATAAATAAGGTAACTATACTTATAATTACTTATAACCCCAATTAAGGTACTTATAACCTTACTTACTAAGTCCCATGATCCTCCAAGTGGTGTAGCGACTTCTTGGTTAGAGTCCAGCATTCAACGAGAAACGCCTTTGGTGTTTGGGATGAGCACTTACTGACCTCTGAGTTCAGAAGCCGGACCACAGAAGCTTTCTCAAGAGGAGCTGGCTTGCTCAAGTACAGTGCAAGGCATGCAGAAACACAACCGCCCCAAAGAAGAAGTAGGACGAATAGGAGGAGGAGTAGAACGGCAGTAGCAGTAGCAGCAGCAGCAGCAGCAGCAGCAACAGCAACAGCAGTTGCAGGAGCAGGAGCAGGAGCAGAAACAGGAGCAGCAGCAGCAGCAGAACCAGCACCAGTACCAGAAGCAGCAGCAGGAGCAGGAGCAGGAGAGCTCATACCGGCAGAGTATGTAACCGCAAACAGTTTTGGTTTAACGGCTGACTCAAGCAAATGCCAATCTCAATCCCAACTTAGAAATCCCTATACGAACCTGTACATAGGCCTTATGAAACACTGTAAGACCCATGCAGCCCTCCGGAACCCCATGAAACCCCATATGCAATTGATCACCCTAAGCGCTTAAAAGCCCTAAGCCCCAAATCGTAAACGCTGATGCCTAACCGCAAGCCCCAAAACCTGAAAACCTGAGCCCTAAGAGCCTACAAGTTTAAGATCCTAAAAGCCTCAAGCCCAAAAGCCGAAAAGCCGAAAAGCCGAAAAATCCTACACCCTAAAGCTTAAGCCCCAGAATTCGAAAAGGATTCAGACGAGGAGGACTTGCTCGCGAGTCTCCTCCGCGATGCCGCCTGAGGGAGCGACCATCTTGTCCTTCTTCTTTGAACCTCCTCCAAAGCTGTGACCCTATAGGCTTCCAGGGACCTGGTTATTGGGTCCTTAAGGGGTTTGGGACCCTAACCATAAGGTCCTTGGAGGCATTGGGAAGGTTTAGGATAGGAGAAGGGGCGTTTAAAAAAAAAACAAGGGTTCAGGGTTTTGGGTTAAGGCTTCAGGGGTTTGAGTTTAGGGTTTAGGGTACACTAGGGGTCCATGTACCCAAATGGTATATACGTTGGCTTCATAGTACCCGCAGGGACTACTTTACGGCCAAAGTATATGCGATTTGGGGGTTTCCGAAAATAGGGGACCCTAACATAGTACCCTAAATAGGAAGATCCTTAATATAAGAACCCCAAAATAAAGTACCCCTAATTGTCGAAACCTTCCGTTTGGGGACATGCATCCTTTCGGAGATGCTCTGCCAGGCTTCGATATTTCATCTTCTAAGCGCTTAAGTCTCAGACAGGGTTCACGGTGTCTTGGCTGAAACCAGACGATTGAAACGCAGGGTTGTCGTTGTGGATCCCGTGAATTGCTCCGGCAAAATCTGGCAATTCACGGAATCCGCGGCTGGGTTGTTCTATGGGCAAATGAGTACAGTAAATCCGAACCCCTGGACCCTAAACCCGAAACCCTAAACCCCTAAACTCCTAAAGCCCTACTAGGTTTGGGTTTTGGGGGAAAGGCTCCTGTGACTTGAACCCAACAGGACCATACCCAAACTGCATATACTTCGGCCTCGAAGTACGTAGTCCCTGTATAGGTCATCAGGTGCTTTGGGGCCAAGTACATGGACTCTTACAGTCTTAGGGGAACATGTGAGGTGGTGAGTAGGACTTTTGGTGATGTAAGAGTTTCGGAGTTTTCGGAAAATGCGAAACACACTCCTATAGTAGGTATATACCCTTAATATAGCTACTATATACCCATTATATAGCCCATTATAGGGTAGGGGTCCCCATTAAGGGTCCTTGGTAGTCCCTTACCGTAACCCTTAACCCTTCCATAGTCCCTATAACTCCCTGCTAAGCCCTGCTCTGGTGGGCCGGACCCTAAACCCTAAGTCTTAAACTTCCCTAAGGCCCTAACCCCTAAACCCTAAACCCTAAACTTCCCTAAACCCTAAGTCCTAAATCCGACCCTAAAACCCTAATACTAAACCCGAAACGCGAAAAGCCTAAATCCTAAACCCGAAACCCTGAAGCCCTGAGCCCTAAAACCCCACTCCGCCGGCAGATGGGGCTCAAATAGTTACGGAGGGCTTCCAAGGAAAGCTTTTTAGCCCCGTCGGTGGGAAGTGCTGGAGTCAAGCCGTCGCCTCAGCCATATTAGCCGAGTAGTAGACTGCCCTACCCGGACCCCAAAAGACCTTCCTGTTTAGGGTTCCCTATTATGATTTCCTTGCATAAGTCCTTAAGCAAGCAGAGGGTTTAGGGCTCAAGGGTTTACCCATAGGCCCCATAGTAGTTCGTTCTTGGGATTACCTATATGGGATTCCGAGCATGAAACCCAAAAAGGAGCTACTATGGGGCCTATGGGGAAGGATATGTGGTTTTTAGGGTTCAGGGCAAGAAAGGGTAGGAGTTTGGGGGCTGTCGTTGCGGATTGGAGATTCAAGCAGGGTGTGGGATTTAGAGCCACGGGTTACCCAAATTTTGGGTTTAAGATGTTGCGGGATTTCTTCTGGAGGTTTGGGTGTTTAGGGTCTGGGGTTCAGGGTTCAGGAAGGTTTGGGTTTCGGGTTCAGTGTGTGGGAGGGGTTTGGGTTTAGGGTCCACGGTTCAGGGTTTAGGCACTCAGCAGCAAGTGGTAAAGCCGATCTTAAGCCCTTTCATCGATCCCAGTTTCAAGGATCAAGCCTGGGGTGTAGGGTTTAGGCTTTAGGGGTTTAGGCTTTGGGGGTTTAGGGTTTCAGGGTTTAGAGTTTAGGGGTTAGTGCGGGTTTAGGGTTTAGGGTGACACCCAAGCACCTCCAGAGGAGGGCATAAAGCTTCTCTTTCACCCTCCACATAAAAGGCATCAGCGTTATTGGCTATGCCCGCCTCCGCCCAATCGATTCCAAGAATTAGCACTCCCGGGAACCACGGCGTAGGGTTTAGGGTTTAGGGTTTAGGGTTCACGTAAATCTCAACAGCTGTAGCAGGACGCCCTATCACAAATCTTGCGCACCGACATTACCCTAAACCCTGAACCCTAAACCCTAAACCCTGCAACAACACTCTTAGGGGTACTTAGAAATATTTCTTAATATTTGGTTGTTATAAACCGTAAGAAAAAGCTAAAATTATAACTTTTGCTAGGGTTCTAAGTTCAGTATAGCACTGACTGAGGCGCCGCCGGCACTTCCTCCAGTCGACTCTTTGGGACGCAGATTAGTTCGCGTGGTGCTGGGTCGATTGCAGTTGTTTCTATTATGAGCCCATACGAGGGCACCCTACTTAAAGGATCATGGGACTTAGTAACTAGGTTATAATTGGGATTATAAGTCCCCTAAGTGGGGTTATCCTAATTATAACCTACTTATAACCTTACTTACTGAGTCCCATGAGCCTTTAAGTAAGGTTCTTAGTATTACGGCAACTTGAATCTGGTGAATTCCGCCTTGAGGCGGGGCTCAGGTTCTTAAACAGTTCTTATACAGTATTTTCACTGTAATAGAGGATTCATAACGACCTTACAATTACAAGCAAGTAGGTCGCGGTAGGTTAAGGTGCGGTAAATCAGCTCATATACCCAGACCCCCGGGAGGATCCAAAAAGTAGATCCCTTAATGGGGGTTCCTATAAAGTACCCTTAGTAGTATAGGGCCCCAAGTTAGGGGATCTACTTTCTAGATCCTCCCGGGGGTCTGGGTAGGTCTGAGATACGGGCTGAGTATTATCAGTATTCGTATTCTCGGATGCTGGTTCGAGCCGAGAGGTTGAAAAGAAGGTGAAGACACTGTGGACGATTTGTTAGGAACCTGATTAAGAAACCCCGGCCCGATATCCCCAACATACTAGGATTCATAGAAGGAACCCTAATTTGAAACGCTGCGCGTCGTCCGCCTCGGCCCGGCTGTACGCTTTGAAGCTCGCTTGGTCTGCAGCCTTAAAGGCCAACACATAAAGATGCTACGAAAGCTCGCGCCTGTCAGCGAGCGGAGGAGGGGCGGGAGGGAAGGGAGGAGGCGGGGGGGGAGGGCGGGGAGGGGGGGAGAAGGGGGGGGTGAAACCATAAACCTCTAAAGGGGTAGCTCTAACCGGTACCTACAGCAATGGCTGCATGCTCATACATATACATTCCGCTGCCCATTGGCTCACAGTGGTTTTACCATATTGAGACAAGACAAGCTCTCCTTGCGTAGCAAGACAAAACAACTACTGTCCGTGTGCAGGGCGCTGCCCTTTGATCCTTAGGGAATAACTGGTCATACACCTCCTCACAAGGAGTATCCCTTGGGGGTGTATCGGCACAGTTTTCTGGTAGCGGAGCCCGGAAAGGGCCGCCCGCCTCCAAAGTCCGCTACAGCGGTCGGCCTCGCCGAACGCTTAACCAAGCGGATAAGAGGCAGCACAATGTCGAGCTCGCATAGCGAAGCCGACGGCAGTTCCCAATCCTCCGGGGGATATGAGAACGAAGAGACCTCCCAAGGTCCAGCTACTTATGTCGCACAGTCATATGCAACATCTGACCGCATGCTTGCATCATTAGGCATAACGCCCAAGATCGCGCCTGCCTATGATGGCACCACCTCGTGGTTTGAGTATGAACAGTTGATTGACGACTGGTGCGACATAACAACGCTGGATGACACCAAAAGAGGTCCGTCTCTCAAGACGAGGCTCTCCGGATTGGCCGCAGTACAAAAGGAATCACTGAACCGAGAAAGGCTTGCAGCCCCAGATGGAGTAGATTACTTCAAGAAGAAGATGCGTCCATTTTTCGTGAAAGGAGAACAGTACGTTTTCCTGTGGCGTTTCCTCGGCCTATTCAAGGCATGGAAGGGCAACCAAGACTTTGTGACTTGGATTGCCAAGTTTGAGATCGTGCTACAGCGCGTGAGAAACTCATGGATGGATCTCTTACCAGAGATAGTTCTGGAAGATGCCCATCCGGATTTCATGCAGGCTGTGCAGGCAGATCAAACCTTCATGCGCCTACAGGATGCAACCGAGAGAGACACATACGCCGCACGTTTCTTCGAAACATGGAACAAGGAACGCCTTGATAATCATCGAAGAGCGTTTCCTCTAAATGATAATCTCCTAGCTCTCCTCTTCCTAGTGCAGTCCGACCTAAATGAGATGCAACGTGAGAGGTTGGTAACAGCATTGACCAACCAAGGTTACCGAATTGAGACCTACACGTACCCTATAGTACGGCAGACCATGTTCGATCAGTTCTCAACGACCAGAACTGGTCTGCAGGATCCCAATATTCGGCACACTTCTCACAAGAAGGACCGCCATGGAAGGAGAGATCAACGCCGCAAACGCGGAGGTCGAAACTTCCTCATCCTCGATCAGGGTGAATACGACGGAGTCGATGGATTCTGGCTTCAAGACGAAGACACCCTTGAGGAAGGCTTTCTTGCCGCCGAGGATGAAGAAGCTGTCTTCTGGACAGTTGACGACCATGAAGCCTTCGTTGCAAGGAGATTCAAAAAGGGAAGAAGACCAAGAATGCGTCCCGGATCACCGGGAAGAGCAAAGGGTGGCAAGCGAAAAGGACGTGGCCGTTTTAGGTCATACCGCGGAAAAGGGAGAGCCAACCAGGCAGAACATGATCCAACTGATTCCAGCTATTTCGGTAAAGGTAAAGGAAAAGAAAAAGGAAAAGGTGGAAAAGGCAAAGGAAAAGGAAAGGACAAAGGAGATAAAGGAAGCTCCTTCAAGGGTACAAAATCAAAAGGCAAAGGTAAGGATACAGCTAAGTCTGCCTCCTTACAAGGAGACCAAACTGGATCTCCACAGGCCTATGAGAGTTCCACC